GTTCATGGCCCAGGTGGGGTGATTTGGGCGCAAAGAGCTGTCTTGGAAGTTTCCCAATTTGGCAGGTGGTTTTCCTGTTCAGCAGATTCAGCAGCAGTGGTACTATATTCATTCATAATCAGAAATATTCCAGTTATCTGTTGCTGTGTAATGAACAATCCCCAAACTTAGTGACTTAAAATTTATTATTACTTCTCCTGGTCTAAGCATAAACTGGGCTCAAATAGGTAAGTTTCCCTCGGGCTCTCTTATGAAGTTACATTCAGATGTGCACTGGGCTACAGTTATTTTATGGCAACACTGGGCTGGATGTCCTGGGGGCTCACTCTCTGGCAGTTGAAGCCAGCTATTGGCTGGGAATTCAGCAGAATTTGGTGGCTGACGCATCTACCGTGACACGCCTCACCGTGTTGTTCAGGCTGCCCACACCTTGGTATCCAGGCTCAGAGGAGGCACATCCCAACATTCCAAAAAGCAGGAATCAGAAGCTGCCAGAAGCTGCAGTTAGGGCCACACCAGGTACAGGCACAGAGTCATTTCTACCACATTCTGTTGGCCAAATGATACCACTCAACCAATTCATACTTAAGAAAGTGATATAGGCTCTACCTCTTGATGAAGGAATGGCAAGCTCAGTTGCCAAAGGGTGCATGAGATGAAAGATAGTGTTTATGCCATCTTTGGAAAAACTACAAGGGTAGAGGAAGAGTGGTCTGGAGGCCTACTGTTGCTCTTTCTGCTTTCCTAATAATCTTACTAGCACCAATTCCCCATGTGAAATCTCTTTCTGCTTAAATTAACCAGACTGGGATCTGCTGACTACACCTGGATCCTGATCAAGGCTAGAGACCAGGTCTTTACTGTTCCCAGGCAAATAGCATTCCAATATATTACCCTATATGTAAGTGGCATAGAGCAGTGATGCTCGGGAGTGAAAAAGCATTTGGAGTTGGAAAGTCCCTTGCTGAGTTTCAAGTTTCCCATCTGGAAAACGGGGATGATAATAATAATAATTTGGCATCTACCTTATAGAATTAAACAGATTAAATGAGTCAACACATGCGCAATATTTCCACGTGCCTGGAACCTGGAAGGCAATGCTTTATAAAGTCCGTTTTGCTTGTTTGCTCAGCTCAAGCTGCCTCCTTCTCTTTGGTAATTGCTGTATCTGCAGGCACAGTGAAGTTAAGTAACTGGCCCAAAGGCATACTGCTAAGAAAGGACATCTTAGGCCGGCTGTGGTGGCTCACGCCTGTAATCCCAGCACTTTGGGAGGCCAAGGCAGGCGGATCACCTGAGGTCAGGAGTTCAAGACCAGCCTGGCCAACATAGTGAAACCCCATCTCTACTAAAAATACAAAAATTAGCCGGGTGTGGCAGCGCACACCTGTAGTCCCAGCTATTCAGGAGGCTGAGGCAGGAGAATCGTTTGAACCCAGGAGGCTGAGCTTGCATTGAGCCGAGATCACGCCACTTCACTCCAGGTTGGGTGACAGAGCAAGACTCCAGTTACTTAACTAGCCCAAAGGCACACTTGACTCTAGAGAGCAAGGGTAGAGTAGCTAAGACTAGAGAAGAGAAGACGCAAACCCACGTAGTCTAGCTTCGTAGTTCATGCTCTCAATCCTTACATTGTACCACTTTTTAAAGCTGAGAACTGAAGGTGTTTACAAGTTAGCTAGGGGACATGTGGGTGCTTCCAAGGATGGAAATATAATGAAGATACGGTTGAGGTGAAAGTAAGTAAAGGTGTATTCTAGAAGACAAAGAACAGCACATACCAAAGCGCAAGGAGGGAAAGACATTGGGGAAATTCAAGAAATTCCTTCAGAGAAGGCTAAAGCAGTGAGAATACTTTTCTCCCCTCTTTCACATCATGGCACACCTAGAAAATGACACTATTTGTATGGATCACTGGAATAAATGCAGAAGCTATTTGTGGCTGGAGACACCTGACCCAGGAGTTGTGGGTCTCAGTCATAGGCATATCTGGAACCCACTTATAGGAAATCTTTTCTAGAAAGTAGAGAGCAAGGGGAACATTGGCACAGAGACTGGATAGGTGAGACAGACCCAAGACAGGCACAAGCCCCTGGGCCATAAGAAGGATTCGAATGTGAGTTTGAGTATATTGGGAAGCCACTGAAGGATTTAACTGGGAGAGAAGCCACGGGATCTGATTTGCTTTGTGTCTTTTGGAGAACACTAACTGCTGTGAGGTCAATGGATCAATGGATGAGAGGACAGGTGTGGAAGTGGGAGGGAGGGTACAGGTAAGAGGCTGTTGCAGTGGTCTTAGAAAAAGAAATGAGGACAGCATAGGCTAGGTGGATGACAGTGGAGATGGAGAGAAATACATGGATTTCAGGTATCTTTTTTTTTTTTTTTTTTTTTGCAACTTCTGCCTCCCAGTTCAAGTGATTCTCCAGCCTCAGCCTCCCAGTAGCTGGGATTACAGGTGCCTGCCACCATGTCTGGCTAATTTTTTGTATTTTTAGTAGAGACTGGGTTTCACCATGTTGGTCAGGCTGGTCTTGAACTCCTGACCTCAGGCAATCCGCCCACCTTGGCCTCCCAAAGTGCTGGGATAACAGGTGTCAGCCACCACACCCGGCCAGATTTCAGGTATCTTTTAGAGCTTGTATCTCCCAGGCCTAGAGATGGTTTGGGTGTACAAGGTGAAGGAGAAAGGATAGTAATGTTGCTTCTCTCACAGTGTTCTCATGAGAAATTTAATTTAATTTTGTCCAGGTTCCTCAAAAAAGCTAAACATAGAATTATTATATAAACCAGCTATTCCAAAAGAATTCACAGCAGGAACGCAAACACACACTTATATACCAATGTTCATAGCAGCACTATTCTCAATAGCCAAAAGGTGGAAAAAACCAAAATGTTCATCAACAGATGAATGGGTAAACAAACTGTGGCCTATTCATACAATGGAATATTATTCAGCCATAAAAAGGAATGAAGTTCTGATGAATGTTTACAACATGAATGGGCCTTGACAACATGCTAAGTGAAATAAGTCAGTCACATATTGCAAATATTGTATGATTCCACTTACATTGGGTACCAAAGTCACAGGGACAGGAAGTATAGTAGAGGTTGCCAGGGATTCAGGGAAGTAGGGAGTAGGCAGTTATTATTTAATGGGTATAGACTTTCTGTTTGTGATGATGGAAACAATGGAAATAATGGTGATTGTTGCAGGGCACTGTGAATGAATGCAATGTCACTGAACTGTACACTGAAAAATTGTTAAAATAGTCAATTTCATTTACACAAATATTACCATAATGAAAAAATTGATCATTTACATAGAGTAATTAGCACATATCTGACCCATTGCAGTTTTAGCTCAATGGTTATAACTATTGTTTTCATATGTCTAGCCTAGCCTCTCTTTTTTCAGAGAAGAATCTCCCTTATTCTTAAGGCTGAGAGTTTTGAGTTTTTGGGTCTGTCTGCCCTGAGGCACTTCTTGACAACCTGAGTCCTTCCTGGTCATACTTGGCTCTCCTGTGGACACTGTCATTCATACACCTGCAAATCACAGTCCACTCCATAGAACGAGGTCCCCTCCTCATTGGAACCAGAGAGAAGAGAGCACAGGGAGGCCCCCCATCCCTTGCAGTCTTGCCCTCTTGGATTCTCTAAGGCTAGATCACTAGGCTTCAGCGGTGGGATAATCTCAGAGTGAACTTATTATCGGGGAGAGGAAAAGTGAAAGAACAGGGTAACTCAAGTTTTCCGGGAGTCTCCAGTGGAAAGAACTCCAAACTGAAGTTCTTCACAAGAACAGGGTCCACCACTCCTGTCTCGCCCCCACTGTATACTGAGCTGTCCCAGCCTACTGCTCTCAAGCCAGCTCCCTAAGGGATGCCTTCTTCAAGTCTCTGAATCTCTACCCACCAACAACTGGCCTTTTCATGGACAGGGTTACAGTCTGAGTCATTCTCTCTGGAGTAGTGCCCCAGTTGTAAGTGATACCTGCTGCCACTCAAGTCTTACAGAATAGCTGGATCCCTTGGACAGGAGTGGACCTCTGGTTTAAGTTATTTTACTTGAAGCTCCAGGGAGGGCTGTAGGGATGCTGGTTCCTGTTTCTGTAATGAACCAACATGCTACATTATGCACAGTCTTACCTCTCCACCAGAATGGGACATTTCATGTTCCATACAGTTTGCATACATACAGAAAAACAAAATATTCCCTAGAATAACAAGACATCTTATTCCTACTCCAGCGTCTCAAGCCCTGAACAACTTTGAAGCTTATTTCCAGTTCCTCTGGAGGATCTACCTGGATAATAAAAGTCACCCGTTTAGTGGCAGCCACTCAGAACAAACTCCAGGCTTGATCATCTTTTCTTGTTTATTTCTGAAGACTCCCTGGGATGAGATGAAGTTGCCAATTTTTTCTTGTAATATTGTTATTGTTATCACAGTCCAAGGGAAAGGAAAGTTTACTCAGTAAGTGCTACTGAAACAACTGGGCAATTATTTGGAGGAAAAAAATTCCTAGATCCTTGCCTTATACCTAACACAACACTAAAATAAATTTCAAAGGGATTAAAGATTTGAGTTTTAAAAGAAAGAGGAATTATATTAACTAAAAGAAAGAATTTAAACTCCTAAAAAGCATTCAATCAGAAGTAGATAGCCTCAGTTTACTTCTCATCAAAATATCCACAAATATGCACATATAGAAAAAGACAAAAACTGTTAATACTAAAAGAAAAAGGCTGACAAGTAAATGCCAAAATATAGTAGAAATCAATTTCTACTGCCATTATTTCTCTTTCTTTTCTTTTCTTTTCTTTTCTTTTCTTTTCTTTTCTAAGACAGGAGCTCACTCTGTTACCCAGACTGAAGTGCAGTAGTGCAATCATGGCTCATTGCAGCCTTGAGCTTCTGGGCTCAAGCAATCATCCCACCTCAGCCACCCAAGTAGCTTGGACTACAGGCATGTGCCACCATGCCTGGCTAATTTTTGTAGATACAGTTTCACCATGTTGCCCAGGCTGGTCCTGCACTCCAGGGCACAATCAGCACACCTACTTCAGCCTGCCAAAGTACTGGGATTACAGTTGTGAGCCATTGTGGCCAGCCTACTGCCGTGATGTCTACTACCATGATTTCGTGGCAAGTGCAGCTGGTCCAGCACAGATGGGTTGCTCTTGCCTTCATGATAGAGCGACCTACTGATAAAAAGGTATGAGGAGGCTTTGGCTATCTCTCTCTGTATTTTTTGAGACAGATTGAGCTCTAATCCAATGCGATTACTGTACTTATAAAAGAGGGAAATTTGGATACAGAGACACCCACATAGGAAGAACATCATGTGAAGATAAAGGCAGAGATTAGGCGATGTTTTTGCAAGCCAAGGAATACCAGAGATTGCTAGCAAACCATCAGAAACAAGATGAGAGGCATGGAACAGATACTCTCACATAGCTCCAAGAAGAAACCAACCCTGCTCATACCTTGACCCTTCTCTTCTAACCTCCAGAACTAAGAGACAATAATGTTTGTGGATTAAGACATCCAGTTTATGGGTTTTCATTATGGCAGACCTAGCAAAACTAACATATGCTACCCAGTGAAGATTTGCTCTCCATCTTCCACTGCTCCCCCACATCAAATAACTAGATCGTATCTGGTTAATGTCCAAAATGTCTCGTAGGTTCAGGCTCTACTCTGTTTCCATTGACTGTAGACATATTGGGTAATTGGGTAATCAGTAAGCACCATGATAGGAGAAGCTAGAAAGGCACTTAGTTGACCAAATGCAGCAAGGCTAGGTCAAAGCTGGTGTAAGAGGGAGAGGGTCTGGGATTCAAAAGTGATGTGGAAATGTTGGGGCTGGCAAGCACAGGTTGAGGGGATGCCTAACTTACCACTTGGTTGGAAAATGCTGAGACGGCAGAGGCTACACCAAATGTCCAAGGAGGGGGGCTGGCCAGAGGCCAAGATTTCCCTGGGTTTTGTCCCATGGCTGGCTTTGGGGCTGGATTTTCACCTGGGGTGCGTGTTGGGGTCTGAGTGGAGATCTTGGGGAGATCTTTGGGGCTGGATTTTCACCTGGGGTGTGTGCTGGGGTCTGAGATCTTGGGGAGATCTTTGGGGCTGGATTTTCACCTGGGGTGCGTGTTGGGGTCTGAGTGGAGATCTTGGGGAGATCTTTGGGGCTGGATTTTCACCTGGGGTGTGTGTTGGGGTCTGAGTGAGATCTTGGGGAGATCTTTGGGGCTGGATTTTCACCTGGGGTGCGTGTTGGGGTCTGAGTGGAGATCTTGGGGAGACCTTTGGGGCTGGATTTTCACCTGGGGTGTGTGTTGGGGTCTGAGTGAGATCTTGGGGAGATCTTTGGGGCTGGATTTTCACCTGGGGTGTGTGTTGGGGTCTGAGTGAGATCTTGGGGAGGTCTTTGCTACTGGGTTTCTTTAGGGTGTGACCGCGGGGCACACATCCAGAAGCACTGGCCTTGTGAAGCTCCCGAGAGTGTTCTTTGAACTACTGCAAACCCAACCAGCAGGTTTGCTGAAAAGTGGCCACGTTCCAGTCCAAAATGTGTGAGCCAAGAGGGTGCTTAGCATTCCCCAGGCCCAGTCCCAGCTCTGTCAAGAAATGGGAGACTTCACCATAGCACTGGGAATTGGATTCTAAACTTTAGGATCAAGCAATGAAAGGACCTGGAGTAAGATACCTTCTTGACCTCCCTGAAGGGCTCTGAGCAGCTGAGCTTGCCTTTCTCTTTGCTCCCCCAGTCCTCCCCTTACTTCTCGGTCTCCTACTCCCCATCGCTCCTTTCCCTGCCTCCTCCTGCCTGTCTCCTTCTTCCTCCCTTTCTTCTCTCACCCCATTAATCACCCCTTGTCACTATCACCTCCTCCCTCCAGTCTTTCCCCCTTCGCTGCCCCTTCTTTCCTCCGACCTTTCCTTCTCTTACTGCCCCTGTCTCCCACCTTTCTCCTCCCCCTCATATCTCCCTCTCCCTACCTCCTCCTCTTGTTCATCTTTCTCCTTCCCCCTTATTTTTCTATCTCCTTCCTCAGTCCCACTCCCCTTTCCACCCTCCTTTTGCCCGTCACTTCTCCTTCTCCCTCATTGCCCCCTCCCTCTCTTCTCCTCCCCAGGTCCTGCCCCACTCAGCTCTGTTTGCTTTTCTCCCGGATCCGGATGGAGGGGTTGCCCTGCCCATGCCCAGCCCTGCCCCACTTCTGGCAGCTTGGATCTCGCTTCATGGCTGAGGGCTCCAGGACTCAGGCCCCTGGGAAAGGGCCCCCACTCAGCATCCACTTCCTGCGAGCCCAGTATGAAGGCTTGAAGAGGCAGCAGAGGACCCAGGCCCACCTCCTGGTGCTTCCGAAAGGTAGGAATGGACAGGGGCTGGGGAAGGAGAGACTGACCATGGGAGGACTGAGTGGCAGAGCCGCAGGGAGGCAGAGCCAGGGCTTTGCCAGCCCTCCCTCCCAGTGGGGAAGAGCAAGGGAGGCGGGCTCAGGGAAGCTCTGCTCAGCTGTCCCACCTGCTAAGGGAGCCAGGGGCCTCAGCTAAGCACCTGGCTGCCAGCACTGTTCCTGGCCTCTGCTCTGATGTTCTGATCTTGCTAGACTGGTCAGCCTGGTGAGCCAGGCTTGGCCCCCCTGCTAGCTCGGGTATGGTGATAGGAGCTCTGCTTCCTGGCTGGGTCTAACTAAGGCACCTCCTACAGACCAGAGAAATTCACTCTGGAGGTAGAAGACATGGCGTTCCCAACAGCCTGGGAACTGTCTGGGCCAGAGGACGCCTAGGGCTCAGAGACCCATGAGGCATCCCAGGCTCATCCAGCCTCAAACATCAGGCAAGGAGGTGTGATCGGACACAGAAATCCCCTACCCCACTCATGGGGAGAAACCTCCTCCCTTTGGGAACTCAGATTTCATTCCAGGAGAAAGTTAGAGGCACAGGGCTCAGAAACCAAGGGCTTGTCAAATCCCAGCCCTTCCTCCTCTAACAGAGGAACAGATTGAGGGAGAAGGGAAGATGCCCTGAAAGGTCAAAACTGGGCTCTGTGGGATTCTGTGGTTATTTGTAGAGTTCAGCAGACTCTTTGGGCTGCCCTTTGCCAGTACAGACTGGGCAAAAATCAGGGGCCAGAGGGACCTCTCTGTCTAGGGCAGGAAGTGTGCTGCCTTTGGGGAACAAAAGTGGCACCTCTGAGCTGAAGGAGCCCATCTCCCATTACCTGGGCTGTTGCCAACCAATGGGATCCTGCCCGTTCCTGGCAGGAGTGAACTGGCACAGCCAGTCACCATCTCTGCAGGGCATAAACTGAAATGTTCCTAAAGCTCTATCCCACCCTGGAGGGTGTTTATTCATTCAGTTATTCCACAAACATTTATTAATTTAAATCCCTTCAAAAGGAAACGCCATGCTTAATACACCTGCAATTCAGACTCACAAATCTAATTGCTTAGTGGGGATGATCCAAAGACATCTCAAATTCAACACGCCCCCAGAGAATTCACTATCCCCTGTGCTCATCCTTTCTCCTGCTCTTGGTAACTCAGTGCCCCCTTTCCCATCGTTACCAGGTGCTAAATTACGGTTCATGCAAGGAGTGCCCAGGTGTGGTTTTCTCCAAGAAGACTTCTGACCTCCCGGCTACGTCAGGGTCATTCAGGGCACTTTCAGCAGTTTGCAGTTCCACCATTTTTTTTTTTTTTGACACAGATTCTCACTCTGTCGCCCAGGCTGGAGTGCAGTGTGGTGCAATCTCGGCTCACTGAAACCTCTGCCTCCCAGGTTCAAGCAATTATCCCTGCCTCAGCCTCCTGAGTAGCTGGATTACAGGCACCTGCCACCATGCCCAGTTCATTTTTGTATTTTTTTTTAGTAGAGATGGGGTTGATGGCCATGTTGTCCAGGCTGGTCTTGAACTCCTGACCTCAGGTGATCCGCCCACCTCAGCCTTCAAAGGTGCTGGGCGTGAGCCACCATGCTCGGCTGAGTTTCACATTCTTTATCTAACTGTGAGAGGCAGCATACTGTATAATGGAGTGGTCACGTACTGGGTCTTGGAGCACAGCCTGAGTTTGAGTTCCAGTTCTGCCATTTACTTAATATGCAGCTTTAAACAAGTTACGTAAATTTTCTGGGGCTCAGTTTCCTCACCTGTCAATTGGGAATAACTGTAGTACCCAAATCATAGGGTTATTGCAGGAATCAAATGAATTAATATGTATAAAACTCATCAAGGCTTTATGCACTGATTGACTGAGGACAAGATCAAATATGTCACATGCATCTGAGTAGGAAGGCCATTGGAAACACTGGCACTGAATGTGAAGGAGCAGGTAATTCTCCAGGGAAAAATCAGGGTAAGGTGACAAAAATAAGGTGAAAATGACACTAAGGAGGCAAAAGAACCTATACTTGTCCCCTATACTTTAGCAACAGGATAGAATGGTCCTTGAGAATACAGGAGAAAAAGGTTTTTAACAGAGAGAGATGAACTTGCTTTTGAATATACTGCATTGGAGATAGTTGCCTGTAGACCTTCCATCCAGCCTGGATCTCATTCGGGCTGGAGATCTAGATTTGGGGTCATTCATCTATAGATGGTAGCTGAAGCCATGGGCATGGATAAAATTGTGGCAAATCCATGTGTAAATTAATAAGAAACTGGGATGAAAGTTAGAGTTCTGGAATACTCAAATATTTAAGGAACAAGAGGAAGAAATGAAGCCAGGGAAGATGGAGAGAGCAGTCAAAATTTGGGGAGAGGGATATCATTCAGCCATAAAAAGGAAAGAAATTCTGCCATACACTACAACATGGATAAAACTTGAGGACATTATGCTGAGTGAAGTAAGTCAGTCCCAAAAAGACAAATACCGTATAATCCTATTTACATGAGTAAATGGGAGTAGTCATATATAGAGAGACAGAAAGAAAGCAGAATGGTGGTTGCCAGAGGCTGGGGCACGGGGAAGTGGGGTGTTATTGTTTAATGCTTATAGAGTGTCAGTTAGGGAAGCTGAAGAGTTCTGGAGATTGGGTCCACAATAACGTGAATGTACTGAACACTACTAAACTGTACACTTAAAAATGGTTAAGATGGTACATTTTATGCTCTATATATTTTACCACAATTAAACATATTTTAAGTGGTAGAAGAAAATCAAGAGCAATTAATGTCATGAAACCAAGTTGGTAGAGGGATTTTAGAGGACCATGATCCTCAGTGCCTATTGCAGCAGAGAGACCCAGGAAGACAGAGTGAGCATTGAGATTGGGCTCCTGCGAAAGCTAGAAGTCAATGTCTCAAGACATTGGTTTGCATTTAGAAGCTCAGAAATTCTAGGAGCTGATCGATGAAAGGGCGGGCTCCAAAATTAGCTTTCTTCACCCCGTCTTAGCATTATGCGATGGATCCAGGTTCTGGAAATTCAGTTACAAGTAGCAGTGTGCCTTCCCTGATGCAACGTAAGTTCCCAGGGGAACTTGAGCTACTTTCAGAAGTCTGTGGAGCCCCAATTACCCTCAGTGATTGATGTCCAAAAGGAATATGCTTTTGTCGCAGTCAGACACTGTGTGACTCGCCTTATGTAGAAAAAGGGATTAGGGTCGGGACTTATATCTGGGCTGGATGTTTTATATTACATTTCATTGAACATTCCTAGCAGCCCTGTAAGGTAGCTCCCTTTTTAAGATCTCCATTTTATAGATGAGGAAATGGAGGCCTAGGGTCTCCTAGTGAGTCAGTGGTGAACTCAGGACCAGACCTCATGTCTGCCTGACTCTGGGTTGATGAGAGCAGCTCCACCAAAGGTCTCAGGCAGTTAGGATGAATTTTGATTCTTCTTTCTTCCCTGAGTCTCCCTACCCCTCTCTTTGCTATTCTCTCCACCCACTTCCTCTATCCCCACTGAAGAGATAAATCAAGGATGGGCTCAAAAATATCCCTTCTCCAATTTGTATCTCTTAGCAAAGTGAATCAAGGATGAAGAATGAAGAAAGTATTATAGATAACGAGTACATTTCCTTCATCGCCAGTCCCTAACTGACCAAAACCAAAACAAAACAGATAAAAAACATGATACAAAATTTCCCTGTACTCTTCAGGCAATTACCCTAATTCTCTTTCTCTTGTACAGTGAAGAGCAGGCACCATCCCAAGATGTGGAGGGTACTGCCACAGAAGGCTCATGATGATTCTCAGCAGAGGCTGCTCTGGGGTGGGATCCCTGTGTACCTCCCAGCCGAGCTCTCTTTCCTTTTCTCTGAACCGCAGGCTGGGACTGACAGTTGAACAAGACTGTCCACCTTCAGTCCTTTCCTTCTAAACTCGTGATGGGAGAGGATACCAGTTTCTAGGTTCTCTCATTGTGTCTCCCCTCCTTCCTTGTTCTCAAATAAGTACATAACAGGTTGGATATTTATAAAAGTTTCCTTCTGCCGGGCACAGCGACTCATGCCTGCAATCCAAGCACTTTGGGAGGCTGAGGCAGGTGGATCACAAGGTCAGGAGGTCGAGACCATCCTGGCTAACACAGTGAAACCTCGTCTCTACTAAAAATAAAAATTAAAAAAAAAAAAATTAGCCAGGTGTGGTGGTGGGCACCTGTAGACCCAGCTACTCAGGAGGCTGAGGCAGGAGAATCGCTTGAACCCGGGAGGCGGAGGGCGGAGGTTGTAGTGAGCCGAGATCACGCCACTGCACTTCAGCCTGGGCAACAGAGCAAGACTCTGTCTCAAAAATGAAATAAAATAAAATAAAACAAAACAAAACAAAAGTGTTTCCTTCATTTCATGCTGGAAAATAATACTAAGGAACTAATGCAGTTACAAAGCCAAAACAAATCTTGAGAGCCTCACACTAGAGTTAATGTTGACAGGACAGTAGTTGTTGGCTGAGATGGCTGCAGCTGGTCTTCTGTTTCTTTTGGATCCCTGGAATTGGAGCTCAGGGGCTTCCTTCTGACTTTATTCTTCCGACATCGTCTCCCCACTCTTGCTCTGCAGATTGTCACCTCCAGGGTCTTCTGTGATAACAGGTGATGGGACGGACAAGTGAACCTAAATGACACCTCTGAGGAGCTCCAGACTGGTCACACACCTGCTTTCTATAAGGCAAATGCCTTTCAGTCATTCCAACCCCTGTCACTGCCACCAAGAGTTAACAATGAACTATCATATTCCACTAGGTGGTTTAAAAAAAAGTCCCCAAGAAAAACAAGAGACATTGGTCTGCCTCTTCCACCTAAAGCCAGTTCTGAGGAGCAGTAAATGCTGCAGATGTCTTCCCAGAGCAGTGCCTGTGGACTAGAAGGATAATGATTGGTTCTCTAAAAGGAGCTGCTTCAAAACACAACTCCTCCCTCTTCTGCCTGGGGTTGTAAACCCACTATCAGAATTCCAGGACACAGCCTGGTGCAGTGGCTCACACCTGTAATCCCAACACTTTGGGAGGCTAAAGCGGGCAGATCACTTGAGGCCAGGGGTTCAAAACCAGCCTGACCAACATGGTGAAAATCACTTCTCTGCTAAAAATACAAAAATTAGTCAGACAGGGTGGCGGGTGCCTGTAATCCCAGCTACTTGGGAGGCTGAGGCAGGAGAATCGCTTGAACCCAGGAGGCGGAGGTTGCACCACTGCACTCCAGCCTGGGCAATGGAGTGAGACTCCGTCCCAAACAAAGAAAAACAAAACAAAAAAAAAGAATCCCAGAATACAAAACCCTGTAAGTTAAGAATAATGTTTTCCACTGGTGAGCATATGTGAACCCACATGTGTGTGAGTCTATGTGTGCTCCTTGCCTTTCTTTTAGCCCCAAATGCTACTTCCCTATCTCCTTCCAGAGTTCCCTCCTTCACTTCAGTGTTTGGCCCTCTGTTATGCCTGAGATTTTCCAGGCATTATAAATATGCATTTTTGTCTCTCTACTCAACTAGGACACACCCAGGAAGGTATGGGTTTTGTCTCAATGTTCATTGCTGTATTCCTAGGACCTAGAATAAATAATGCCTGGCCACATTAAGTGCTCAATAAATATGTGCTGAACGAATGAATAATTGTGTGTGTGTGAATATATATGGGTGAGGTGTGAAAGGGCATGTGTGTGAGCATGCAAGTGAGACCCTGTGTATGTACACATGTACACACATGCAATGTACCAGGAACCTTCTGGGGATGGCCTTCCTTCAGCTTGAAAGTAATGAGACCCCCTAAGTGAGAGATGCCCCTGTCCCTTCCAGTGATGACCCTGCTGGTGCTTTCTCTTTTCAGGAGGAAACGCGCCTGCTCCTGCGGAATCGATAGTCAATGCTGTTTGGATTAACAAGGAGAGAAGGAGCTCACTGTCCCTGGAAGAGGCAGATTCCAAGGTAGATGGGAGGCTGGAGGAGGCTGCCCAGGGCTGTCTTCAGGCCCCCGAGTCTCCGTGGCACATGCACCTGGAGATGCATCATTTGGTTCAAACCTTCCCCCAGGATACTAGTCATCAAGTACATCACAGGGGCAAGCTTGTGGGATCTGACCAAAGGCTCCCTCCTGAAGGAGACACACACTTGTCTGAAGCCAATCAGATGATTCAGCAAGCAACCGGAATCCCAGAGGCTGCCCAGCTTCCATGCCAGGTGGGCAATACCCAAACAAAGGCAGTGGAATCTGGCTTAAAATTCAGCACTCAATGTCCTCTTTCCATAAAGAACCCACACAGGTCTGGCAAACCAGCTTACTATCCATTTCCCCGGAGGAAATCTCCCAGGATCTCCCAAGCTGCCCGGAACCTGGGCTTATATGGCTCACCCTGAAGCTTTCTATTCTGCCAGATGTCTTGACCTTGAGGCCACCTATGGCCTCATGGAGGAACCAATGAGGCAGAGCCACAACTAGGTCTCTAGCTATGAGCAAGAACTGTACTAACCCAATTATAGGAATTGTGGGAGATGAACTTCACAGTGGTAACATGGGTTTATCCTTCAATAAGAAACTTCCCAGGCCAAATGGCCCACAGTTTAGGATGAAGAGGACTGGTCAGTGCAGCCCCATTCTGACATTGATATGAGGTCCTGGCTATCCATTCCTTGGGGAAGACCAGTAAGACATCTGCTCCATCCCTGGAACTGGAGAATTTTGAAACATAAACCAGGGACTCTAGCCAATAGAATGCCTTAGCAATGCCCAGGGGTCAATGGGCATGGGCATTCTTGTTTTCAATGTCTTCTGATGATTTCTCACATATTCTGGAGAAGACCAGCTCTGAGAATTCAGACGCTTCTTCTGGTGGCTGTGTCTGGGGGGCCATCTCACTTAGAAGTCACAACACTCATTGGCAGTGATCACATCATTTCAATTTGGGCTTCCCAAAGTATGGTTACCCTGTATGAAGGTGAGATCAATGCTACCTACCATTTTGTGTCTTTAAGGAGTCTTTAGAAAGGGCTGATCATCTGCCACTGCTCACTGAGACATGTACATTCCAACATCATCACAGATTTATCTCCTTCCTTCCTTCTCTCCCTCCCTCCTTCTGTCTCTCCCTCCGTTCCTTCCTTCCTTCTTTCCTTCCTTTCTTCCTTCCTGTCTATTTCTCTCTCTCTCTGCAAGTTATTTTCTTATTAAAAACTGCCACTCATTGAAGATATATAATGATGGGATCCTGAACAAAAAGAGGCAAAGAAATTCTCCTGCTTGAAAAATATGCATTTCCTAGAGACTGCCTCCTGTTTAGTCCAACTTGGATCACTCAGATCCTTCCTGGGATCAAACACGTATTTTTAAACGTAAGACAAAGCAAACCAGGTGTTACTTGGGTGATAGGAAAAAAAGCTTGTCCTTCCTGATTAATGTTTAGCTTTAGTAATGCTATTTAAACACACCTAAGGTGCCTTTCCCTCATCTCAGGTGCTTTCTCTGTAAAGTTTCACCCCCACCTTTCTTTTCTCCCCATGGCCATCCAGTCTTGCCCATCTACAACCAGAGTTGTTAACTAGCAGTGTCATTACCTGTCAAAAACATGTAGGTGCCTCCTTGAACAACCCAGAAATCCACTCCAATTTGGGGATTGTCATTCCTTTTGTGAATAATTAATACAATTCAGTTGTTTTTAAAATATTCTAATAAAAAAGGACATTTTTCTCAAAAAACTTTGTCCTTTGTTTTTGTTTTTAAAGAAGTATCCCACAAGTAATGTATCTTTTTGTAGGTTTGCTTTTGTTTCCTGTTTTTGGAGATGGAGTCTCGCTCTGTTGCCCAGGATAGAGTGCAGTGGTGCAATCTCGGCTCACTGCAAACTCTGCCTCTCGGGTTCAAGCCATTCTCTTGCCTCAGCCTCCCGAGTAGCTGGGATTACAGGCATGCACCACTATGCCCGGTTATTTTTTGTATTTTTAGTAGAGACGGGGTTTCACCATGTTGGCCAGGCTGGTCTCAGACTCCTGACATCCCTCGGGTGATCTGCCTGCCTTGGCCTCCGAAAGCGCTGGGATTACAGGTGAGAGCCACCGCACCTGGCCAATAATTACATCTTTTTTTTTTTTTCTCCTGCCTCAGCCTCCTGTGTAGCTGGGATTACAGGCATGCGCCACCATGCTCAGCTAATTTGTATTTTTAGTAGAGATGGAATTTCTCCATGTTGGCCAGGCTGGCCTCAAACTCCCGACCTCGAACTCCTGGCCTCGATTAGCCCTCCTCGGCCTCCCAAAGCGCTGGGATTACAGGCATGAGATACCACGCCCAGCAAAAGGTAGAAATAACCCCTCCATGACCACAGCAGTGACTCAAACCTGCAATCTTCTGATCTGAAGTCAGATGCCTTATCCTTTAGGCCACACAGCCACCGGCTGGTCAAGTCTTTGTTCAAAATGCCAAGAGCCTGGGATGGTCTCCACCGATAATATTAGCAAAAGAAGGTTTTCCTCTTCTCTTCCTAAGGTAGAAAAAACCAGCTCACATTGTAAGTCCTGCATCAGGCAGGCCACCTTTACCTAGGGTTCCCCCAGGCTTCCATTTCCCAGTGAGGACTCCCCATGTGGCTGCCTGGTATGCACCATGCTTCAGTCTCCCCTAGTAGGAGGAGGAGTGATCAGGCTCCAGTCTGGGCACTGCTGTTGGCAGAGGTGTGACCTTTATTAGATGAATTAAAGTCAGAGATTTCAGAGCCAAATCTCAGAGCTACAGATTTACCAGTTTAAGTGAAGGAGATAATCTTCCCTGGGGTAGTGAGGAACGTGGAGGACAGACGTTTTCCCTAAGCTAGAAACAGAAAAGGTTTTTTCCAAGAACAGCTACCAATTCAGCTGGGTCTAACAGCTTCTTCCTCACTAGGGGATAGGTTGCCCTCACACTATCTCAGTCGGATTCCCTAACTTTTCAGTCACTCCCTGACATTGAAGCCATTCATTTCAGTTGGTAAAACTTGGAACCGTTCAAATGTCAAAGTTCATCTCATAGTCAAGTCAGAGTCTACCAAGCTCCACCTCCTCCCAGCACAGCCTTGACTGATGCCTTTAAGGCTGGAGGGAGTGGCTCATTCCCACATTCTTCTTTCTCTGTTTACACAGATTTTTGACAAGAGGGTAGGAAGGATAGAGAAGAAGCACAGATAGCCCTTTACGTGACTGGCCACGGCGTAGTTTTGGTCTCTTCCCTTGGCCATTTACGCTGGCCTGGCTTGTCATCTATAGGTTTGGTATGGATACGTGGTGGCCCCAATGGGCTCCTGCTGAGGAGGGACTCATCCCAAGCAGCCCGCTAGCTTGGAGGGGGGGTCCCTTGGGAAGATGGTTATGCCTGGTCAAGCTGCCTCCACCCCATTGCATCAGGAGACCATTCTTTTTACCCTTTGCCCCAAGTTCATCTACCTCTGCTAGCCCAGCTCAGCCTGTAGACTCATAGGCAGCAGGCATGTTCTGCACCTGTGCGAGGTGATCATCCCTGCACCTTCTCTTTCTGGCCATTCTATACTCTTCTGTTTCCACTGAAGTCTCTCCTTTCTCCTGACCAGTCATCTAGTGGGAGGATAATGTGTCAGTCTTCATTCTTGCAGACACTACTTTATTTATTTATTTTTGAGGTGGAGTTTTGCTCTTGTTCCCAAGGCCGGAGTGCAATGGCACTACCGTGGCTCACTGCAACCTCCGACTCCTGGGTTCAAGCGATTCTCCTGCCTCAGCCACCCGAGTGACTGGGATTACAGGTGCACGCCACCATGCCCGGCTACTTTTCATATTTTCAGTAGAGACAGAGTTTTGCCATGTTGGTCAGGCTGGTCTCGAACTCCTGACCTCAGGTGATCCACCTGCCTTGGCCTCCCAAAATCGGGATTACAGGTGTGAGTCACCTCTCCAGGCCGACAGTACCATCTTTAAAAGAAAGGTTCTGCTGGGTGCAGTGGCTTGTGCCTGCAGTCCCAGCACTTTGGGGGGCCAAGGCAGGTGGATCACCTAAGGTTAGGAGTTCGAGACCAGCCTGACCAATATGGTGAAACCCTGTCTCTACCAAAAATACAAAAATTAGCCGGGCTTGGTTGCTCGTGCCTGTAATCCCAGCTACTCAGGAGGCTGAGGCGAGGAGAATCACTTGAACCCGGGAGGCGGAGGTTGTGGTGAGTCAAGATCCTGCCACTGCACTCCAGCCTGGGTGACAGAGCGAGACTCTGTCTCAACAAAAAAAAGAAATGTTCTTTGCCCTCCCTCTTTCCCCTTTGGCTTTGAGAAGAATAGTCAGGTGGGGTGTGTGTGTATGTGTGTTTTTCTTTTTTTCTTTTTTTTTGAGACAGAGTTTCCCTCTGTTACCCACGCTGGAGTGCAGTGGTGCGATCACAACTCACTGCAGCCTCAACCTTCCAGGCTCAAGCAATCCTCCCACCTCAGCTTCCTGAGTAGCTGGAACTATCCGTGCATGCCACCACGCCCAGCTAATGTTTGTATTTTTTGTAGAGACAGGGTCTCATTATGTTGCCCAGACTGGTCTGGAACTCCTTAGCTCAAGTGATCCACCTGTCTCAGCCTCTTAAAGAGCTGGGATTACAGGCATGAGCCATAGCATCCGGCCTTAGTCAGGTGTTTAATTCCATGGAGAGGAGAAGAAGGAATTAGCTCCATACAAACACTGAATGTCCCTATTGTGGCTCAGAAAACAGTGCCCCCAAGAGAAGGCCTCAGAAGCAAAAGTTTTTCTCTGACCTTCTCCTGCCCTCCTGTGTCTCAGTGCCATTCTCCCTCCAGGCTAGCCATAGATACTAGAATGCCTCTTCCCTAAGGTGGGTCATAGAAAGCAGAACCCTGGCCTGGTATGGTGGCTCACACCTGTAATCCCAGCACTTTGGGAGGCTGAGGTAGGTGGATCACCTGAGGTCAGGAGTTTGAGCAGCCTGGCCAGCATGGTGATAACCCCATCCCAACTAAAAATACAAAAAATACAAAACTCCAGCCACTTTCTAAGTCCAGAAGTTCTTTCCTGGGCCTTTGAATTTTTTTTTTTCCCCTCAGTGGCGCAATCTTGGCTCACTGCAACCTTTGCCTCCTCCCAGGTTCAAGCGATTCTCCTGCCCCAGCCTCCTGAGTAGCTGGGACTACAGGCATGCGCCACCACGCCTGGCTAATTTTTGTATTAGTAGAGACGGGGTTTCACCATGTTGGCCAGGCTGGTCTTGAATTCCTGGCCTCGTGATCAGCCCACCCTGGCCTCCCAAAGTGCGGGTATTACAGGTATGAGCCACCACGCCCGGCTATTTCCTGGGCATCTTGATTCCAGGCAGGATATGTAGAGAAAATATTGCAACTTGCCTGTAGCTGTCTCCTCGCCCTCCCTCTAGGCATTCAGTCTCCTGGGGAGATACCACTTAAGACCCTACCTTAGGAAAGGACTTATTCCAAGGTCCCTGCTCACTCACAAACTAGGACTTCCTTAGTACCTCTGTGTGCACATGTGTGTGGGGAGGAAGATTCTCCACAGTGGCCAAGGGGGAGGTTGGTGGGGATGAGTAGAGAGAAGGGAACTAAGAAGTCCAGCTCCGGTCGGGCGCGGTGGCTCACGCCTGTAATCCCAGCACTTTGGGAGGCCGAGGCGGGTGGATCACGAGGTCAGGAGATCGAGACCATCCTGGCTAACATGGTGAAACTCCGTCTCTACTTAAAAAAACACAAAAAAATTAGTTGGACGTGGTGGCGGGCACCTGTAGTCCCAGCTACTCGGGAGGCTGAGGCAGGAGAATGGCGTGAACCCGGGAGACGGAGCTTGCGGTGAGCCGAGATTGCGCCACTGCACTCCAGCCTGGGCGACAGAGCGAGACTCCGTCTCAAAAAAAAAAAAGTCCAGCTCCTTCCGTCCTTGGGGGAGCTAGAGTCAAACTCCCTCAGAAGGTCACACCCATCTAGGACATGTCCCCATAGTGGTGGGAGAAACTGCCTCAGAGAGGGTTTGGGTCATGGCCCTAGTTAATACTGTGAAAGGAAAATTAAAACTCAGGACCTCAATTCACTCTGCCAGAAGGACTGAGCATTGCCACAAATTAACAAGATCAATGAGAGTCATACATGAAACTGCCTTTCCTTTTGTTCCTAAACAGATAGCTACAGATAAAATGTTAAATATCTCCACAGGCAGCTATTCTGCTTTCACCTTATCGTATGTAAACACTGATTTACTCATTGTGAGACAAATCCATAATTGACTATTCCCCTACCTACTCCTTTTCCTTTGCAACTTGTGGATTTCCAGACCCTCCCTCTTTCCCCTCCAGCGGCTTTTCCCCTTTAAATAGTGAAGTCCTGGGAGTCATCTTTGGAGAAAGGCACAGACCACACAGACTGTGTCTGTGATTCCGCATTTTTCCTTCTGGGCATATCCTTAACCTTGGAAAAATTAACTCATAAATTGTTTCAGACCTGTCTCAGAGCAATACTTTATGTCTGGTCCCTGTTTTGAACTTTCATATTTGAAAAACATTAATTTTTACTTGGTTTTCTTGGGTTTTGAGAGAAGCATCTGAAATTCTTTTAGTCCGGAAAAATTATAAATCTTCTCCAGCGGCACCTCCCGCCTCAGGTTCTTCCTGAGAGGATGCTTCTTCTGTTCATCTTATTTGTTTAAAAATCCCTGCACCCCAGCTTGTGAGTAGGGTGCCCCATATTG